TTAAATAAGGATATCAAACTGGCAGCTGATACAGGATGTTGCTATATTGAAGGAGGTTGGGTATCCATAACCATTTGTCCTCAGACACCTTACTTACCTTTAAGGGAATGGATGACAAAGACTTATTCCAATATTGTCATCACTGGACAATGTCATGCAGTTTAGATATGGTCTACTCTGCACAGATTTCTGACTCCCAAATAAACATTTTCTTTCAAGAAGCCTGACTTTAAAGCCTTGAACTTTTTCTGATTCTGTGTTTCTCTCCCTCTTGGTAGAAGTTATGTGTTTGGATTGTGGGCTCAGAAAATATAGGAGATAGAGATCTGCTCCTGAATTCCTGAATAAATCTGAAATTTCAGGCAAGCAACCTTACCAAGGCTCCATACAACCTTATTTGACTGATCCTTTCAAAAAGATTCATGTTTAGAGGTCATGATAGGACTGATATTGATTCACTGATTATGTGCCATCAAGTCAGTGTCGACTCTTAGCAACTACATAGATTTTCTTCACAACAATATATGAATGTAATAAATTAGCTATGTAATAAATTGGGATTCATTTGTTTGGATCTTATTTACAAAGATATCTCTTAATATAGATTAAAATTAAATCTAATTGCTTTTATCAGCATTTTATGAAAAACAAAACCAGTCTTTGTGATGATAATGTGATTATGATAGTCATAACAAACTGGAACATTTCCAGAGGAGATCCATCAACATAAGGGACCTGGAAGGAAATACCTATGAAGAAATCCTGGAAGTGCTGGGTATGTTTAACCTAGAGAAGGAAATACTGTGGGGGAGACACGCTAGCTGTCTTCAACTATCTGAACATCAGCTATCAATAGAAGCCCGGGAAGAACTGATCCAGAAGACAGGGCAAGAAACAATGGATTTAATGACAATGATTTTGATTGGACATCAGGAAAAATTTCCTAACAGTAAGAGATGCTCAAGAGGGAGGTTATGCATTTTCCTTCAGTTAAGGTGTTTAAACACAGGGTGGATGGCCATATTTTGGGGATGCTATAATAGTAGACTCCTGCAGTAGATGGACCAGATGATGTCTAATCCTTTTATTATATGATTTTATAACCAATCAAAATAAATCAGCTATCAGAATTTTGTTAATATTCACTTTAAAATTAAAGCCACCTGTAATCCTGTCATAAAATTCTTACATTTCCTAAAAGTTAAGATTTCTATGATTACAGATGGTTTAATCTTCACAACTGAGATCTTCACAACTATGACATATGATTTCAGCTTTTGAAGAGGGAAAAAAGCCTTGAGAATTAATAAACCAGCATTTTATATCATTTTAGCACTGTAAAGAACTTTAATGTAGAACTGCAGCTAGTGTGCCAAGGGCATTCTATAGCCATGACTATGTACTGAACAAAGCTGGTTCAAATACTTGCATTCTTGGCTAGCGCTGTGTTAGGACAGTCTTACTCCAATGTCCTCTGGCTTACTCCAATCTTATATGCAGCCTTCAGTTTCACAGATTGTTTTGCTTCAATGAAATACCTATGGTAAAAGCCATGGGAAACTTTACAAAGTTGCTTTTTTATGTTAGAAGTTAGAACCTTTGGCTTATCTGTCTTATGGCTTATTAACTTATTTGTAAAAAAAAAAAAAAAAAAGGTTTTCTATGCACATAGTACATGATTAAGAGCTATTATTTGATCCAGACAGTAATGCAACTCTTACAGAAAGTTAGTAATATTCAAACTTCTGGGGAAGAAATGGCAGACTGAAACAGCTCTGTGAAAAGCGGAGTCAACAACTGGGGGAATGAAGAGCCAGCGAGTAGACCAGCTCTTAGTAATTCCTCTCTGGACAACGAGCAGACTTAAAGTCAAGTGCTCCAGACAGTTGCTCCTCACAAGGAGACACAAGATAGCAGTCTCTGGTGGGTTTAGAGCTCTGGGAGATGAGGGAATGGCCATCTTGCTCAAACCGTGGTTGATGCCTTTGAAAGAACACTGGGTTCAGATACTTCCTTTTCTAATCACTTTTGGGAATTGTTTATTAACTGTTTTTCAAGTATTAGGAACATTTGGATCAACAAGTTTTGCAGCACTGGGTGAGTTTCCTTCCATCTTTAGCAAAAGAGGTTTTAAATACAAGTTTAAGGACTTAAGGACTTAAAAAATATTTTTGGGAATAAACAGCAAAAGGGTGATTAGAACTTTGATTTTAGAAAGTTACAAACAGACTAAGGGTCTACATAAAATTGAATTAAGATTTTGGAATTATTTAAAAATAACAGGCTGTAAGAATGACATGGAAAAAGATGTTACACTAGACACACAAAAGAAACCAGCTAATGTCTTAATAATTAAAAGGAATATACAAATAACAACCAAAAGAGTGACCTGGATAACTTTCCTATATTGGATTTACAAAAGAGACTTGCTAAAGCTTTGAAGAATTTTGTGCGAAGAGACAAAGAAAAAATGAAAAGAAATCAAGTTCTAAGACATTATTTGAATGGACTAAAGATCAAGATTGTCAGAAGTAAAAGGAAGGAATATAAAGTTGATTTATTTAATCAAGGTTAAAACAGATACTTTGTTATCTCTGGTAACCTTAATGGACTATGGCTGACATCAGGACTGAAATGACAAGGCTTTAAGGATTTGCTTACAGATAAGTGATGGGATATGGGAAGAAGAGATCATTCGTTGTATTTTAAGAGAAGATGATACAGGTAGTCCTCAACTTACAACCACAATTGGGACTGGAATTTCTGTTGCTAAGTAATGTGGTCATTGGGCGAAACATCACATGACCACAATGCTTAGCAATGGCAGCTCCAGTAATCCCAGTTGCGGTCACTAGGCCAGGACAGCACTATCATTAGGTGAGGACCTCACACTTCTCCTGCCCTGCCGCACTTGCCTTCGCTTCAACTCCCCTAACTCCCTGCCCATCTCCACCATTTTGGTTGCCCTGCACTCTGCCACCTACCCCTGCTGCCCCCTGCTGTCCACAGCTGACCTTCGCCATCTTCTTCCTCCTGCTGCTAGCCCAGCATCCAGGCGCTGGGCAAGGGTACAGCTCTGGGATGTGCACAGTCAGCGTGACAGGGTGGAGGAGCCTCATCTACTGAAGGGAGCTTGCCAGGCCTAGCCAGGGAAGAGGCAGCAGGACAGTGAGGTGCGGCATTCTCCATTGCTGGGTGAGGCAGGAGAGCCAGTGGCAGCTCCCTGGGCAAAGGTGGAGGCTGTGAGGGAGGCATTGTTTGAGTGGTGGCAGAACTGGAGGAAGTGGAGGGAAGCAGGCTTCCTGGAGGTGCAGCGTGCACTCTGCAATGCATATTGGAAGCACTCCTGGAAAACTGGCCTGTGGGCTTCAGCGAAGGGTGGAGGTGAGCCCAGTGCTGGCAGAGCCTACCCATAGGCCCTCTATTCACTCTCAGCCCAGCCTTCCTCCTGCAAAGCCTCATGAACGGCCACCAGCTTCCAACACGCTGAAGCCTGCAAACCAATTCTCCAGGGGCACTTCCAGCATGCACTGTGCAGCTCACATTGGAAGATGCTGGGGGGTGGGTAGGAATGGAAAGAGGGAAAAGTAACCTTCTTGGCTTTCTTGTATTCTGCCACTTTTGTCAAGCTATTCTTACTGATGTCTGGTCTGTCCTCCAAAAGCTGCAGCCTTTTCCACCAGCCAGCCTGCTCAGTAGTTCTGCTTCATCCTGCTGGGTCTCCAAATGTAGATTCCTCCTTCACCTCTTCCTTGATACACATAGTATGTCTAGTCCACACCATACAAAAACAACTCTAGGAATATCCAAGAACCTCATCTCTGTTGCTTAATATTTCTGTTTTTTATATATTTTCAGTTATAAGGCAGACATGCCTGCATCCAGGTGTTTTACTCAGCATAAAGTTTTTTGGTATTGATGTGGCACTGAACCTGGTTTTGGCACACACACAAAAAACCTTTTAGCCTTGAGACCATTACATCATACTGTGTCCATCAGGGAAATTCACCCTGCCACACCAAGCTTCTTCGTGATTCCTGCTTTCTGTGCAGTTCCATCTATGTACTTATCTACTGCAGAAAAACAAACCTAATTTTTCAATGCACCAGAATTTCTCACCTCACACACTTTCTAAATGCTTTCCCCCTGATACAAACCTAAAGCTTTAAGCACAACTAGCAATTGCCTATGAATGGTGGGGGAGATCCTTTTATTCAGAGAAAAACAAGATGCTACAGCAAATGGCTGTAGCATCCCTGAATTGTAATCTTTTTTGGAAAAAAAAAACCCTAGACAATACCTCTCTTTTATTTTTCATCCACTGTTTCCTCTTCCCCCCTCATTTCCACCCAGCATTGTTCTTCTCTTTCCTTCCCCTTCTCTTACCTCATCTTGTCCTGTTTTTTTTTCCTTGCTTGCTCTTTTTGCTAGAAGCAAGGGAAATGTATGTCTAATTTGTATTTTCTTTGAGAGAATCATTTGTATGTGAGAGAATGGTTGTAATAAGCAGATGGAGGGTTTATAATTTTCATAAATTGGGCATCTTATTTTACAAGTGATTAACTATCTAAATGGGGACCATCCAGACTTTGGGGGTAGAATGTTCCAAAATATCAGGCTACCACAGAAAAAGTCTACTTTTGAGCACACACCCCTTTTATATCCAGAGGACAGAGGCCTGAAGCATCACTTCCCTGGCAGATCAACAGAGCAGGCAGACTCCATTTGGAAAAGAAGGTCCCACAGGTAATATAGACCCAAAGCATGTATGGCTTCATAGGTCAAAACCAACATTCAGAATTGTACTCAGAAACACACTGGCAACCAACACAGTGCCCACAGCATAGTATAATACTGCTATGTCTCTCACTTGCTAATAACGCAGACTGCCATGTTCTGCACTAACTGAAGTTTCCAAGTAATCCTCTAAGGCAGTCCCAAATATACTGGGACTACCAGTAATGAGAACATGAATAACTGTCACCAGGACCTCCTACTCTAAAAGGGTTGCAACTGATGCATCAGCCAAAGCTGAAAAAGGCTTTCTGGACATGATCTCTACCTGCTACTGAGCTAGAAATTGTGAATCCAAGAAAACTAGTAAATCACAGGCCTATTTCACAGGGATGTGACCCTCTCCAGAGCCAATGTTGCCACCAAAACTATTTCTGGGCAAATAACAACGTTGCCTTGCCAGGATTCAAATTCAGTTTGTTTCACTGCATCAGTCTTTCTTTATCCCTGAATCTTAATTCAGTCTTCTCAAAGTTTCTGTCCTCTAGCTGAGTTCATTCCAGACTAAGTTCATGTTTTCCTAAAAGCTGTGGCATATTTTCTTCAAGGCTATCTCCATACTCCTCCACAATGGGGGAAGATGCCTTAATCTGTAAACAAGGCTCTCTTAAATTCCTTAAAATTACTAAGGTTAAAGGAGTTCCTCAGTTTTGGCTGACAGTGCAGTATCTTCCATCCTATTAGCAAGCCTATGAACAACTGTGGTTAATCTGTTTCAGGACAAAAGCAGAGGCCAAGGCTCATTTTCGTTATGACCACATCTTGAAGCAATTGGATTATTTTTGTCTCAGCAACTTCCTAACAGACATAGTCGGAGAATGTAGCTATTCCCACAAGACAATCCACGTAGGGCTCCTTGTTATCTCTACAATGATCAATCTTATCTATAATGTTTCTTGGAAAGAAAACTGCCAGACATGATAAACAGAAGACTCAATTGCCAAATAAATGTACTACTGTTGCACTAAGCTTTTGTGAGAACTTCTCTATTGGTTTATTAAACCATCACTGGATTATAATTTTGAAAATTCAGAATTAAATATTAATGTAATTTAGAATCCAAAGACTTCATGCGTGTTTAGAAATATTTTTCTTCTATGTAGATTCAGGATACAATATTAACTTTACTAAAATTTACATGATAAAACCAAGACGAGAAAGAGGTAATACCCTTGCTTTACATAACCAACAGTCCAAAGAGAACACATTGATTTCAGATGTTGCTTATACCCAGGAGAGATGTTATGAAGTAACAGACCCTGAGTTGATGAGAAGCTAACAGAATGCAGTGGTGGCTCTTTTTGCTGTGGCACTGTGTTATACAAACATCATGCAATTATAAAGTACAATTGTCTTTAGTACTCTTTAGTACAAGCGGGCAACACCATACGTATAACTTGGATCTCTACCTCTTTACCACAGATGTTGGGAATTACAGAAGAGAATAAAACAAAAGCTACCACTGGAGAGGAATCCTGACAGTTGAAATCACTACCACCTCTGCAGCATTCTGACCCGGGAACATGGGCCAAAAAGCAATGGGGTGAATCAGAGACTGAATTTATACATTGGTTTGAATTAGTCAACCAATTCTTTTCTACAGCAGGCTTGCAGCAAGGTATCCTGCTGCATTTTTTCCTCCAAAGCTCAGAAGTACATTGGAATATTTCACAGCTAAGTAATTTATACACTATAATTTCACATTCAGCAAGCAGAACTGAATCATTTCCCTCCACATACTGCAGAAATAAAAACAAACATTCAATCTTATTGAAAACTATGCCAAAAAACCAAAACAAGTACAATTTAGAAAAATGTAGGATATTCCTCTGCATTTTTAAGCATTTGTTAATATGTTTAGGCTATACTTCCATGTACCTTTGGAACATTTAAACTTCTCATTTTAGCTTCTGGTTTTACAGAACTTGCTGAAAAAAAAGCAAAGCTTTGATTATTAACAGAACACAAAAGAAGCAAGCATGTAAATGGTACCCCAAAATTAAGTATCACAATAATAAAAATGGAAAAGGAAAAAAGAAAAAAAACCCTGTAAAATGATGTTACATACAGAACAAAGGCTCTGGCCAAATTGCTTGAAAGTTTTTTCTTTTTAATCCAGCACTTATACTTCAAAAATCCAAAGTTCTTTATGCCTTGATAGATTCCAAATGCTAAAGTCATAGCTAAGAACATATACACCTTTAACATTCAGTTATTGATACAGAGTCATATTAACAATCTGTCAATTTATTACCAAAATATGGCAACAATAAGACTATACCATGTGCCATTTCTAATAGCAAGATGATACAAATATCCATTATTAAACATTCTCCTAGGTGTCCAATATACATGAACATTGGGGGGGGAGGTATTAACCTCATTTTAAGTTCATAAAAACTAGGTCCACATATGTTCTCCATACAAACAAGGATTCAAACATTTGCAGGATTTGGTTAAGATCAAATAATAACTTTCAAGTTGAGCCCAAAGAGGAGATGAATTCTGAAAGTTGTTCCTGAAGGACCAAAGCTAAAGCAAAATGGTAAGCTTGAATGTATGGTAATTGTACAATGAAAATTTCACAAGCCTTTGCCAAAGAAACAGATTCAATAACCTGTAAAACTGTTAAAAATACTGTAATGAAATAAGTGTGGAAAACCTCTCAAATAATCAGACTTGGAAGTTTGATTTTTATACCTTCTCTGTAGATCTTTTGCATGCATGAAAACAAATAATTTCAATTTATAGTTGTAAAAGTTTCCTGAAAATTCCTATACCAAGAAAAACAAAGTCAGAAAAAATTAAAATCCTCCAAAATTAAAATATATAAAAAGTATATAACATAATACATGTGCAGTGTTATATGTTAAGTATCTCTAACTTTTATTAAACTTCATACAACTTTATGTCAAAATTACTGCTATAAATACTCCAATTTATAGAGTAATCAAACTCATGTATTAATGAAATGAGATTAGTAGTAGAAATTCTTGATCTCTCTATAAAATACATCAATGCTAGAAAAAAACCTTATGCTTTCCTCCCACTCCTGTAATTCCATTGATTTGTTACAAATTTTGCAAGAGGTTCTAAAACCACGTTTTTAAAAAAGGTAGGGATGTGTAAAGGTAAAATATCTTCTTAAGCTTGATTCCTGCTATTTTACATATATTTAACCAAGCAGAAGGCTATGCTATCCAACAATTTCAAAAGTCTTAATTGGTTATCAGTACAAATTTGAAAATGGTTCAAATGGTTATATCATTCCAGAGAAGATGGAAAAATGTTCTAGCAACTGGAATATTATTAATGAATTCCTTGATGTTATCACACAAATAGTCCTAAGTGGCAGTCAGAGACATTTGACAGTAGCACAAAGAACAAGAACCTGGAAAAGCTCAGAGGTCACTTAGTAAAGACAAAAATATCCCTAAGAATATTGTACACAAAGCACTTTCATGTGCTTCTGCTAATCAAACAGCAGTTAAATTAGAATGATATATCTCACAGCTGATTATTGGCTGCTTAACTTTGATGGTGAACACTCTTTCTTTAGCCATCCCCTTAATATCAGGGTACTTCATGATGTATCAGTCTACCACTATGAGAGGCAGGTTTCTTGTATTCAGTATAGAGAACAAGCAATGGAAGTTATATATATTTTTGGATATGTAACAGAGATGTGGTATATACTCTGGCTCTCATGGTAATGCCACATTATATGAATGTGGTAATGCCACATTATATGAATCTACATCTACAAAAGTTTCATGAGGTCTTAGAACTTCTCATCATTTCTCATTTATACTTTTCAGAGAAGTTTTTTTGTATATCCAACATCCAGCTAGAAATGCTGCTTGACTGCTAGAAAAACATCTTTCATATAATAGTAGGCTCTACAACTTGAAAAACTTGGCTGTTCTTTCATTATAGAGGATTTTTCTCCTTATTTCCATGTTTTGGCCTTAAAGAAAAAGAGGAATATTCAGAATCTATCTTGCAACAAACTGTTAGAAAAGCCTGCTTCACTCCACTAACAAAGGCAGGATATTTTAAAAAATATTTTTCTAAAGTTATTAAAATTATTGGAAGTAAAATCTAATAGTCTATTATCTCCAGCTACACAATAAGAGGTTACATCTATTTTATTTTCTGTTATGCTGAAGTACACTCCAATAAAAGAGCTGATAGAAAAATTACAGCCACCCTGACTTAAGTATTTGGATAAGCTTTACTTCATAAGCAACATCATTCCCAGATATGCCTTGATTCAGTAGATCCCCTTCCAGACTAAGACTAGAAGTAAATAAGGAAGCAGTGGCAATATTGGTGCAATATGCATCAAAGCTATGAAAAGGGCCCATGATGACTATATGCAGCAAAAGTACTGGAAATAATCTCCAAGATTTGGAAAGCTATTGCTGGCCAGGTTAAATAATCCTGAGAGACATAGGACTGACTCTACCAGAAGAAGCTCTTTAAGTGCAAATTAACCTCTGAATTAATGTAAAGCTGTGGGCTTCCTGTCTTATTCTCTTGATGAATCATTAGCAAAACACATAAAACAAGGTTTCTTCAAATCTCACAGGATTTA